ATTTTATATTTTGAATGTTGTGGCGGTGGATTTTATCTTGGTTGATTTTAGTTTTGGTTTTGGGCTTTGGTTTTAGTTAACATGCAAGTTTATGTTGTTTTCATACATGCAAGTATAAATAAGAAACAATGTAAGCATAAAGAGAAGCATGTAAGGAAAAGACACAAGAAAGACGGTACTATAAACAGTAAAAGCATACCTGACGAGTCTTCTCGTTCCTATTCTCAAACTGAAACTTCAATACTAGCAAAGCATGTATATATATGATTTTGCTGGAATTAAAACATACTTATAAAAAAAGTAGGAATTACAAACTTAAAGTGTGCCTACCAAATCATATGTCATATCTTGGTGTATTTAAAATTTTAAGGATGATTCCCCTGAGCAAATTATAATAAGCCCACATGTTCTTCATAACTTCCAAAGGATCCTAAAGAAGTTTTGGGCAATACCTTAGACATTTCATGATCCCCGAAAAATATATTGAGTTCATTATGGTTTTATCATATTTGATATATAGTTCATCCAATTAATACCCTTATGCTTAATGAACTTGATGTTGTAATTATCTCTTTAGTGGAGTAATTATCACTTGATGCTTATTTATGAATTATATGGGTAAAGACCCTTGGGAGCGACTTGACTTAATTAAGAAATTTAATTAATTTGATTTTAAAGATTGGGCTTGTAGTATTTTGAAAAGTTTTAAATTAATTATAAGTTATTTTCTAAACCTTATTAGACAACATTTTAATTAAGCCTAGTTCACTACTAAGCCCTTAAGATTTAATGAGTGGATTTATAATTTTAAGAAAAAAGATTTTTCTTAATGTTTATATTTATATTCTTAATCCTTATCATGAATTATAAATCATATTAAAACGATTAGTTGGGGCTTAAAATCAGTGAGTTATAATCTTCTAAAATTAAACCCCTCACCTTAATATCTTCCTATTTAAATTTTCTTCTAAATTTCAATAATTTTGAAAAAAATACAAATTTATCCTTTATAAGAACAAAGTGAGATTGGTTATTACCATTTATCCCTTCCATATTTTAGTCATCAAAATATATCAATTAAGATTATTTTTTGCCCATTTAGCCCTTTGGTTAAGCCTAAATATTAATTAAGCCTTAAATTCCAAAATTACCCTTTTGCCCCTAAGGCCTTAATACCCCATAATTCATTAAATTAGACTCAAATAACTTGAATATTTTACATTATTATTTAATTTTTATAATTATTTATAATGCAAAAATAGAGATTTTCAATGAAAATTTAATAACTCAATTAAAATAAAACTTCAGTCCTTAAGAAAGTTATTGGAGGTTCACCTAGGTTAGAGGACCACTTGGACCAATTTTCATCATTTTTAGAAATTTAATTTAATTATAAAAACTATTTTTTGGTTTTGAGTATTAATTAAATATAAAATAAAATTTAAATGGAAAATTAAGTTTTATATTTTTATTAAATCTCTCTGTGTACAGGGAACTCATCAGGAAACCCAAAGAAATAAATTTCATTTTTTTTGTGATTTATATTTTAATTTTTTAGATATATTTTAGTGAAAAATTAAAGAAAATCCATTTTTAACCCTTTTAAAATTAATATCTTGACTTAGAAAATTATGAAAATTATTTTGTTTCGCTCCAAGTAATCAAAAAGCCATCCAAGGAATCAGGAAACCAAATGTGATATTTTAGTATGTTTTTTAAATTTTGTGATTTTATGATTTTTAATTATTTTTTTTAATTTAAATGCTTAAAAATAGTCTAAAAATGAAGAATTTATTTTAATTCAAATTTTATTTTTCTTAAGTTCCTCTGGTCATAAGGAGCTTCCAAAACTAATTTTATAATTTTTTGAATTGTATGTTAATTATTATAATTATTTTAATGTTAAAAATGTCATTTTACTTAGAAAAATCTATCTTAAAAATTCATTTTATGATCAAATTAACTCCAATTGACTTGCAATTTTTATGGGAAGTTTCCCTAACATTATGTTACAATAGAGAATGATTTTTATGTCTTTTACATTTATAATTACTCCAAATTAATTTTCTTTTCATTTTTAGGGTTGGTGATAATTAGAAATATTTTAAATGAGTTAAACCAAGTTTATATTTTTTCTTAGGATCCTCTGACCACAATGAACCTACCAAAACAAATTTTATATTTTTATGATGAGTATTTTAATTATTATAATTTTTATACAAAAACAGGGACCATTAACTTGAAAATTGGATATCTCTAGTTAGAGATGCCCTGACCTTGGAAAAATCAGGGGAGATGCCTAACAACAGAGACATTAAAAGCCCCATGGTCCCATGCCATGGTAAAATGTCTATGCTAATGGAGAATCAAAATAAGGAAAACACTATTTAATTAATTAAAAATAAAATATGCATCAAATAGATATGAAAATATTTTCACATTGTTTTCCTCTCTTTACTAGTATTTTTATTTTATTTTTATGATTTTTATACATAAAGTTATGAATTTTTGAAGTTCTGGCTTTTTAAATAAATAAGAAAATCCCTATTTTTCTACTTAAGGGACGCGAGACCACCTCAACCTAGGCAGATCTGAAGCTCTATGCAGCGTCTTCTAGTTCGGTGCGGTCATCAACCTCAGCGCTGACTTGGCCAACGATTTGTGTTCCATTCCTTTGTCTGGCAACATCACACTCATCCGTTCAATAAACGCTTGATCCAAAGGCGCTCTTTCATCGTCCCCAAAGCTCTAGCTCGAGAACCGTCCAACTTCTAGGCTTGATATCTCTCTCTATACTCAACCAAATTAAGTGCGATTTATTTCTATAGACCTCTTGACTAGGAGAACATATCCCTATGGTTGATCAAGCCTTAAATCAAGTTTATAAGCATGGATAATCAAATGAAGCTCGGTTTAGGGTTAAGTTTCAATACCTTGGTCCAAGAGGGGAGCCTCGATTGGATGCTTGTGGAAGCTTCGTGGGGGTCCCAAGAGCCTACAGATTGAGCCTCGAGCAGTGGTGAATCACCTAGATATGACTTCGACCAAAGTTGATTTG